AACATTGACAAATGAATCAGTCGGTCTTGAAACGTTGTGACACGTTTGTTACGTAAACATTGACAAAAGACCCAGTCTGTCTTTAAACGTTGCGACACGTATCAGTCGGTCTTGAAACGTTGCGACACGGTTAGTGCGTAAACATTGACAAATGAATCAGTCAGTCTTGAAACGTTGCGACACGTTTGTTGCGTAAACATTGACAAAGGAACCAGTCGGTCTTGAAACGTTGCGACACGTGTAGTGCGTAAACATTTACAAATGAATCAGTCGGTCTTGAAACGTTGTGACACGTTTGTTACGTAAACATTGACAAAGGAGCCAGTCGGTCTTTAAACGTTGCGACACGTTTAGTGCGTAAACATTGACAACGGAATCAGTCGGTCTTGAAACTTTGCGACACGTTTGTTACGTTAACATTGACAAATGAATCAGTCGGTCTTGAAACGTTGCGACACGTTTAGTGCGTAAATATTGACAAATGAATCAGTCGGTCTTGAAACGTTGCGACACGTTTGTTACGTAAACATTGACAAAAGAGCCAGTCTGTCTTTAAACGTTGCGACACGTTTAGTGCGTAAACATTGACAAAGGAACCAGTCGGTCTTGAAACGTTGCGACATGTTTAGTGCGTAAACAGTGACAAAGGAATCAGTCAGTCTTGAAACGTTGCGACACGTTTGTTACGTTAACATTGACAAAGGAACCAGTCGGTCTTGAAACGTTGCGACATGTTTAGTGCGTAAACAGTGACAAAGGAATCAGTCAGTCTTGAAACGTTGCGACACGTTTGTTACGTAAACATTGACAAAAGAGCCAGTCGGTCTTGAAACGTTGCGACACGTTTGTTACGTTAACATTGACAAATGAATCAGTCGGTCTTGAAACGTTGCGACACGTTTAGTGCGTAAACAATGACAAAGGAATTAGTCGGTCTTGAAACGTTGCGACACGTTTAGTGCGTAAACAGTGACAAAAGAACCAGTCGGTCTTGAATCGTTGCGACACGTTTGTTACGTAAACATTGACAAACTAATCAGTCGGTCTTGAAACGTTACAACATGTTTGTTACGTAAACCTTGACAAATGAATCAGTCAGTCTTGAAACGTTGCGACACGTTTAGTGCGTAAACATTGACAAAGGAATCAGTCGGTCTTGAAACGTTGCGACACGTTTAGTGCGTAAACATTGACAAATGAATCAGTCGGTCTTGAAACGCTGCGACACGTTTGTTACGTAAAATGTTAGAGTAAAACGTAAAACCTTGATACATACATCTTTCCAAACTGATTAAATCTTACCGAAGATATGGTGGTTTGATGTTGAGCGACCTCTCCTTGAGGTCGATGTTCTAATGGACCTTGTTGTGATGTTGTCACTTCCTGTGATGTTCTCGCTATGAGTACCTGAGATTATATGTCGGATGACTGTGTTCCAATGAATCAGAAGACGGTTAGCCATTTGGAGCACCAGGGCTTATATTTATTCACATACTTCATGTAGAAAGATAAACCATTGTATCCAATGCCAAGTGAAGTTATTTAGTTGTTGAAAAATGTTGCTATCGTTCTTGTTGGGTTATTTCGAATATGCATAGAAAGTTTGTTTCCATCCTTATGTCATGGATCCTAATTGAGTTGTGTTGTCTTTCACAGTCAATGAACCAATCAACTTGCTGTATTACGTTTCGAGTATATATACTCAGATGTCAATTTTATATGCAATAACTCTATGCGCAATATTTGCCTACAAAGCTTAACTATTTCCATTTTTTCACGTTTTTTGTCATATATATATGTGCTAATATTTTTCACATTAAAAGAAACTTGTTCCTGTCTGTTTTTGTGTTGTTACTGTTCGCTCGTCCGTAACGCCTTTCTTTCTCTATGTCTGATTTTATCCTTTGTTAATTATCGATACCGATAATGTTTATTTAGTTTGATAGGTTTTTCCCGATTTACGATATAAATTATCTCTAGAAAATAATGTAATTGCGAAATGACTTTTGTGAGAACGCTGCCGATTCTCAGCTGATGATGCACAAGTGGTAGGCCTAGTATTTTTAACGTTTCTGAGGTCGGCACTGATCGAGCAATCAAAACCTGTATCGCTAAAATATTTCTTTTGAAAGTAAGAAAAATATCAATATTGACTCAAGATGATGAAATATTAATATTTTTGGCAGTTTTATTATTATATGCAATAAGCATTAGTAAAAGTAACGTTTTATTATGGTGCTTTTATGTGTCTGTAATAAAGTAATCGATACGCCGTTTCAGTGTGAAATGATGACTTATCAGAGATTCAGGTGCTAACATGGCATTCGGGTAAATCAACTAACACTTAGATAAACTACTGATAAGAAAAAGTGCTTTATTTGACTGAAAATTATAAAACTAGCAAATGATATGTGCACCGTATGGTCTTTCTCACATTGTTGTTTGCCCCTAAATGACGCGAATTGTCGATGTACCGTAAAACAATACAGAATACAAATACTTATCGTCTCGCCATTCCGGGTTTAGCCGAAATGTCTATTCGTCTCTTAATCTTTCCGTCCTTGCTTTAGTATAAGAGATAGAACTGTCTTTTTGTCTTTCCGTCTCTGCGTTCTTGGTATAATTTCGGATTTGGTAAATACTTTGCAACGTAGCAGTAAGCTTGCGGTTATGCATTGGGTGACATTCAGATCTCCGACAATATCAACTATCTAGTAATATAAAAATTCAGGCTGATGAATCCAATGTCTTCGCTACTCAGCTTTGTTTGTTTCAATCTTTGGTGCACATAAATATGTCTTCTTTCTATAAAGTTGAGTCTTTTTCAGTTTTGGTATTATTTGATATCAAAATGCCACGATAACGCACATGACTGTCAATGAACAAAAATACCCCATTTCATTTACAATCTGTATTGTAGCATTCCATATATTGTAGCATTCCGTAAATAAAGCTTTATTTTTTCGTTTCTTTTTGTATAGTGTATCATTCCGTAAACTGTATAATTCCATGTGTTGTTCTTCTAAATAATAAGAGGTGTATGTTGTGAGGAAGAGCTTAAATGTAGTGACAGTTTCCCGTTTGCTTTGTCTCAATACACAGCACTGACATATACTAGTCAAGAAGTACATGATCTCAAAAAAGATGCATGGATGGTTTTTTTTGGAGAAAATGCTTAAAAGATTCACACTTTACCTGAATTTATTGCTAAGCCCTGATGAATAAAAGCATATGCTTGTAATGACATAATTAGCATGAGGACCTCAGACAGATACATTGACATTGGGTCGTAACTGAATAAAAAGACAAAGAACAGAAAACAACATTATATCTAACAAAAGTGCCAGTTTTAAAAGGGTTCGTGTAAATTCCGAATCAGCATCACATCATTAGAAACCGTATACTTATAGGAAAGGTAGTCAATGTGTTTTCTACTTTCCGAAAATAATACAGATTTTCTGGTATCAAAACGGTGTTGTCAGGTTCAGGTGCCTCAACATTGAGTGCCCCCAGTTGACGTGCAAGTTGACAATGTGGGATTTCAGGTCAGTTAACTCGGATGGTTTAAATAAGAAAAATATAAACATGATTCTAGTTTCTGTCCTTGCCATCATATATCTAGCAAGTACATCTGTACCACGTCATGGCCCGGTATTACTGCTAAGTGTGAAATTAGTTTCAGCACCGATGTTTCAATTAGATAGCAATGCAATCTGTTTTGATATGGTTGTCGTTTGTGTGGCATGCTTTTTTTTTTAAACACTTAAAAGATTGAACCTCATTTGTGCAGTAATCTTTGAAATTAAAATATTCTCACCAGTTTGACAGGAATTCCTGGGAGGTAATAAGGCTTGCTCCATTACTGTCCGTCTAGACTTACTGGGTGGTAACAGAACAAAACAGATATATCGTATACATATACGCTTTATTTATCATTTCAAATATTTCGTATTTAATACACAAATGACGTATTACATCGCTAATTCGAGATGTAAATAGCACGTTAAAGAAGACATAACTTACTCTATGTTATACATTTGCACTCATACACCCATATCTACGGATTGGATTTACCCACAGGACCATGAGTATCACATGATACCTCTTAGTTATGATTCTTATACATTGTACATGTGATTTCAGAAATAAGATATGAATTTGGTGAATATTTTTGGTACTGCATTGATAGAGTGTGATTCAGTTTCGAACCATTTAAACTTCGTCCAGTAGTTGTTACAGTGATAACCGTAGAAATAAAAGATTTTAATGTAAACATAAGCCCGTGAACGCGCTATCGACTGCAGCCATTGGGCTATTGAACTTCACCGTGAAGCTTGCCGTAACTTGATATATTTCAGCCTCCCTATTAATAAGGTGAAAATGTTTAGAGTTCGATTTGCAATACAAATGTTGTTTAGTTCGCTATTTAATTACGATTATATTAGATTCCAAAAATGTGCCATGCATTTATGAGAATTTGACAGATGCTTTTCGCATAAGTGCTTTTCAATATTTGTTTCCAGTGTATGAAAACATTTTTAGGAAAATACTATTTATCACATTTCGAATTTTTACCTTTTTTTTAAAGTCGATAGTGATTCTGTTTACGGGAACACTGTGACTGATCGATCGTTCATGACCAGACACCGTTATTAATCAAATGGAATAAATAAATTGATGAACTATTTAACAGATGTTGTATATGACATATATATGAGATAACATCACACTTAATTCTGTGTCGATGACCATCACGTGGTCAGAGATCTAGACCTGTCCAACAAGGCCAACATAAAGATAAATACTGTATTTCATTGAGTTGAAAATTAGGAACGCTTTCAAGGTTAAGAAGTCTTGTGATGTGGGAGCCTTATAGAAAAACCCCATTATATTTTACATTTAACGACGATTATTTTCAAAGCTTGTGAAATCAATTTCTAATCATAAAATTATTACTTATAAAACAAATTAAATTTGGTCCATAGCTCTATATCGTTTAGAGATGTGTCTGAACACCAGTTTTACTTCTCTATCGACATCGTTAACAGAGTTACATTAGTTCTGGTAAGCCGTGTCGTACGATAAAGTATATTTCTGCGTTAGATGTCACTGTTGTCTTAAATCAATTTAATTAGAGACCTTCAGAAAGATATTGTCATTTGACAGAAAATAGCTTGTTATATCGAAAGACTGCTTATCGCTGGACATTGGCCTAAAGGGTAATGCCATTTAGATGTTAACTAAAAAACTACCGAACTGTGTACAAAGAGATTCATGTTAAATAAATGAGATAACAGGAAACATTATTTCCCCTGTGACAAAAGATATTGTATCAGTAAGAACGACTAATAATGCTTAAACTTCCAGAGAATAAAAACACTTACTGTTGTTATTAGGAATTTTAATAATTGACATTCGATTGACCTTGTCTTATGACTATCATATTCAGTATTATTTATTCAATTTGAAAATTCATGTTAACGTTTCTGTCCGAGTTATGAGGGGCGCTATTTTAAATATTACGTCAGTTTAAAGCTAACAATCGCTAACTCATTCCTTATACACAACTTAATCTAGAACTTCTAACATATATACTAAATAATATACGATCATCTCTGCGAATTGTACACAGAAATTAACAAAATAATCATACGATACATTTACATGACAGACACTCAGGCTATCGGACATTACCAGGAAACACCTAATCAGAACATTGAGGTTCCGGGGGCAACAAACTATACTCCACAATGACGTCATCAAATACCGAGTCATGATAAACAAATACATGCGCATTTGAGGTAAACTAGCGTCCTGTTTGTCTAATCACCCGGATCTAGGTTCATGATATGATGATCTGCCCGTCAAATTAAAACTTGTAGCGGAAACATGTCTATCTAAGTATATAAACCATGGCAACAGGCACGGCGACAGCGTCAGCACTGTTTAAGACACGTGACAACATTGTCAATACTTTAATCGTCATATATACTCATCAACCAGTCACATTCATTAAAGCTGGTTTCTTTCTACACATTTTCAGCCACGTGACAGAAGCCTTCCAAGTCATGTTGTGGTCACCTACCACTTGACCGAGATAACTCGTCCCTCTATATCTGCTTCTCAAGCTACGCCAATACGTATGAATCGGGGACAATATCATTGTCCGGGGACAGTGTTCCTGCGAACACTATTTATTGTAGTTCTTTGTCAATGTGGGACCGTTATAATGTTGATGTGCGAAAATGAGACATGTCCTCATGACGTCACGCGTTAGCACTAAGTTTACGTCACATCTCACGTCGTGTGTTTGATTATGTCACGTGACATCACATCGATTGGTCACAACTGAGAGACAAATGTTTTTCATTGTTTGACGATGAAATGTTGTTTAATGTAACGAATAAACTCATTGGGCCATCTGCTGACCCATGCATGGTCCTTGGGGTTTTCCAGGAGAGTCCTCCCGTTTTTGCACTTTCTTCGCTTTGATTCTTCTGTTCTGGAACCATATTTTGATCTGTCGTTCAGACAAGTTTATGAGCTGTGACAGTTCCCATCTTCTAGATTTTGAAATATATGTGGAGTTGTTGTATTCTCTTTCGAGTTCTGCTATTTGAAACTTTGAGTATGGTCTCCGTCGCTTCCTCAGGGTAACTGTAGTTGGAGCCAGTGTTGTCGAAGGAAGGTGAATCTGTTGCATTTCTGAAATATACAAAAGGACATATATTTAGTGACAGCAACCTTGAAAAGAGTCAATTGCATAAAACAAACACGTGGCTACTTTTTAATTCAGGACAGATGCCATGACAGACTTCCGTGTTGGCATAAAGTGTAAAGGTAAATAATTGGGACGTTCACCGTAATAACAAAAGATCGCTATATAACACAATTTATTATATCAAAATGCGATTGGAATGCTAAGGCGGAAAAATTCTACATAAGGATCGAAGTTGTATTAAAGAGAAAGCATATATTGATATCAAAGACCAAACAAAATACAATTGACTCGCCGACAATCTAGGCATTAAATTGTAGACGCAGCCTGGTATCCCCCGGAACAAAATCCGTCCGGGGAGCAGAGGGAGGTATACGTTACAGTTACGCTTGTATCTACAATGTAACTCCTGTTAGGTACAAACGTTACGTACGCCATGATCAACACAAAGCATCCACAAGTAACTGTATATAGCAACAGTTACACAAGATGGATTCTAATTGAAAGCCGACCATCTCTTTCTCTCGTTTCCCGTCGTGCAATTGTTCTGTCATCAGCGATCACAAACGATTCATTTCTGTGGGAAAGCATTCTCTTTGCAGAATAAATGTATTTTTTTCATCATGTAGAAAAAACATCATCAAAGACAATATATACGTGTGAGGAGTATTCCCGCGGGTAAGGCGGTCTACACGAGTAGTGTCCCCGGGGGAGGGCTGGTCTGATGCCAGACGTAGATCTAGAGTCTGTCAACAAAAGTTCCGCTACAATCCAATCCAGTCACACTTCAGTGATCACCGGCAGGACCCCCTTCATCCTCCCCCTCCCAATAGTGCCGCCGTGGACCATCCCTTACTTTGATGAAGTTGGGTTCATTTAGAGACGGCATAATGTTTTGTCTGAATATGATTCGTTGATCAGATTATAACTTAAAAATGACACTGACAAGAAATCTTTCATTCATGCTTATCTAATTACTTTTAAGGTGTAGTTTATTTCTAATTTTGAGTGGTTGTATTGTAGTAAGTGGCACTATAGTCGATCCGTTACATTGATGCCCTAATGTATCATTTGTATTCGATACACACCGAAAACATCACCTAGATCATCAGGCTGATATTTCTAGTCCAAGGTCAAAAGTAGATTAAAATCATCAACCGGCTACAACTTGCGTCTTTGATTTCGCCAATTTAATTAGTCCTATAGACAGAATACTTTGGAAAGTCATGGATAAATCCATTTTGACGAAAATTGTTATCTGCTGCTCAGCCAACGATTCCCTAGGTAGGTGTTGCGGGAGGGGCCCCCTTAAGGTGCCATATTGAATTTTTCACATAGTGAGCTTCACATTCAATCTAGAGATCCTTATCTTACACAATAAGAAAACTGAGACGATATTTAAAGTAGACGTTTGTGAGTTATATTTGGTATTTATAAACCTAGATATGTTACGTACACGGGGATTGGACAGTAAAGATTTCTCTTAAAAACAATAAAAAATAATAACGACAAAGTATATGAGATTTTTTAAATTCATGTTTGAGAAGATCTGTTCTGTTGAGTTCCTTTTCTTGTTTCAGATTGTTTAAATTTCCGGCATACAAAAGCATTCCTATCGGTGGCCCCAATCGCGTTCCGCTACCACATCAGTCATGAAACACTTGTATCCGACTTGATGGGAAAATTAAAGTCCAATTGAGTTTTTTACCCTTTAACACGAAGTGTTTGTGTATTATAAGATAGTAAGATGAGCGTATTGATCAAAGGAAATTGTTACATTTCTAAAACATTTAATGAAGGGTTTCAATTGAGATATTGCGTCAGTGTGGCCTGTTGACCACAAATACATTTATATATGATCTGATTTCGGGCCTTATCTTAGCAATGAATTAATTTGATTGGATAGATAGAAAGATCAGACTGCGATACTAACACCTAACAATTCCTAAACAATCAGTTTTTACAGAAAAACGCGACTGTATCCGTAAAAATCTGCATAAATATGTAATGAAGATTATCTCCGAGTAACAGTTTCATCGGTGTTATTAGACCTCAGTACCGTCTTCAAGATCGAATCCAAGCCGTTTGCTTTAAAAATATATACAAATGTTCGCAATCAAAGAACTTATTTGTTGTAATATTTTTTACGTTCGTTTACCAAGTCTCTTTAATTTTAATCTTATTTAGTCATCAACCTAAGTCTGGTCAGTACAAGTCTCGCTATTCTCAGTCTTGTGCATTCAGAGTCTCGCAAGTCCTAGTCTTCTCAGCCTCAGTCTCGTTAATCTAAGTCTCGTTAATCTAAGTCTCGTCAGTCTTATATTACTCTCCATAGGACCATATATATTTTTTTGTCAAAGTCTCGTTAGTCTTGGACTCTGCAGTAGCGTTCAATACTTCTCATTCAATATAACTCTCATCGGTCTGAACCTCGCGAAGCATTTCTCATTCAGTATGAGTCTCATCGGTCTAAGTGTTTGTCAGTCCAACTCTCATCAGTTCATTCTAATCAGTCCAACTCTTATCAGTCTCAGCCTCGTGAGTCTCCGTCTCGTTCAGTCTAAGTCTCATCGGTGTAAGTCTCGTCAGGCTATATCTAAGTCTCGTCGGTCTAAGTCTCGTTAGGCTAGATCTAAGTCTCGTCGGTCTGAGGGTTGTCAACTAAAGTATCGTCGGACTAAATTTCGTCAACCAAAATCCTGTAAGTGTCGGGCTCGTTCAGTGTAAATATGTAGAAGTTTTGTGGACTTGTCAGCTTGAATTGCGTATGGCAATTGTGTAAAACAATATCATTTAATAGTTTAACAGTTTATATACATTTCTTACTAGAGTAGTACAATTATATTTCATTTTAAGTAGTCGAGTGGTGCACATTTTCCCGGTATCAAAGAATATTAAAAGAATGTTTTTGTAGGTCAAAATGGTGATAACTGTGAAAGTAAAGGCAATGGGGTGATTGTAGGTGTTAGAAAATTACCTAAACCTAAATTCATTTAACCCCTCCCCATTACGCTTCTCAAATATCCAGTCACTAAGTTTCTCACCCTTCCAGACACAAAATATTATGTACATTGTAGTAATGTTTTCCCCTCAAAATTTCCAAGAACAGTGTTACTGTTGAATAACCTCTCTCCGGATACGACCGGAGCACCTGCATGTACCTTGGATGTATTCAAAGCGAGGTTGTCAACCAAACAGAAGTAGACAGATACTGGTGTACATAGGTTTACTAGATGACCTGTGTTGACTCTATCATCATATATCATGTGCAATCAGCGTTATATCCAAAAGGACGTTGCTGATTAAGAACCAGAACCACTAGTTGTGAAAGTGGTTCAGTGTAACGATTACTGACTAGTTAGTGTTCAGGGTACGGATGGCCACTGACTGTTTGTGGTAAGCGGTTTTCCACTGACTAGTTGTAGATAAGTGATTCGTGGTACGGATTACCACTAACTTTTTGTGGTAGTGGGATTACATTCATGCGAAAAGTTGAACACACATCAGAATTGAAATAGTACGGAATCCTCAATTATTTATATCATCTGTTTTAGATCGTGTCGACACATTTAGATGACAGAACTTTTCCTGTGTCGGAAGAGAAAAAAACCAGCACAGTGAAACGGAAACAGAAAAAATGTAAAATTAGAAAGGGTGCGCGGAGGGACCAAGAGACGGAAAGTCTGGTGTTTGTAGCGTGACCATTGTGCAGGGAAGAGATCACGCAGAATTATTGATACTTTTCTTTGTTAATATTTGATGGCAGATATGGGTGTCCCTACGGTAACTCGATATGGTCTAGGGTATGTAACTACGGAACGGATCCGGTCACGGCTAACTATTCCGGAATGACATATATTGCTTACATCATAAACCTCTGTTGTGTTATTGTAACCAGTAATTAAACTTGAAGATAAAGAAACCCTAAATAACTGTTAGAGTACAATCAAACTGTTTTAATGTAAATCAGTGTTTAAGGCAACACAATTTACGTAATAAGAGAGGTAATTAAATCATTAAATTGTAATATATATAAATGGTTTTATCATAATCAGAAAATAAAATAATACATAAAATATTGTTAAAATTTAAAGATGAATATCATATTTTGCTCGATATCCAAGTCATTTTTTTCAAGTGTTTTTCTCACAAATTTGACTATGATATGCTCAAAAGAGATTATTTCAATTTCTCTTATATACTTGTACATGCAGTTTTAAAAAAAATGCGAAATAAAGTCGTGTAGTTGATTTTCAGATTTTCTTTCATTAAATTTCATTAAGTCAAGTTACGGGATGGAATTGAAAAATACGGGATATAGTAGAATTATATCACCTTCAGAATATTGATATACAATGTGTCTCCTCATTCAAGTTCTTATAGACTCTTGACAGACTGCGTGTATATGTAAAAATCACATAGATCACATAGATGATGACAAATTTTGTATATGTTTGGATTTATTTTTGTATTTATGTCCGTTGGCCTGTATATGTAAAAATGGAATCAAAATTTATTTCAAACGTTTTTAGATTGGTGTTCTCTTGTCATTTTTATCAGACCTGTATTTGCCTGCGAGGTGCGCTAGTCGCACTTTGAATGAAAATAAATGCAGATACATTATATTGATTAGAGTTTTTTTTACCTCGCGCCTTGTGTGGTCCTACCGCTTATCGAGATACTACGAAAGTGCATTTTTTCTCCGTTTAGCTATGTAGCTATACAACATTTAGCGATCTGATGCACTGACAGTTTTAAAGGTAGGTACAGTACAGAGCAGTCTCCTGGGGACTTAGAACAGGTAGATATCGCTATAACAAAAAGAAACAACTTGTGAATCGGGGACATTTTACATGTGTCGCCAAGTCATCGCTAGGACTGGCAAAACATGCAGAAGTACAATAAAACATGGGTAGACTGTCTTTTTTTTTTTATCGGCATTAAATATTATTTATGAGATTGAAATTAATTGTGAAAAAAAGAGGAA